GTTTAGAGTTTAAATCAGCTAAAATTAGGCTTAAAACCCAATTTGTTTAAAGAAATCAAAAGGGCAAGAGGGTTTAAGAGCTATTTTTAACTTATTAAACAATTTTTTTCACACAACATCATCAATTCAGACCTTTTTTTTTCAAATTTAGATTTTTTTTAGAGTTTGAGCTACTATTTTGAAGTGGGTTTCGATTTGGGAGAGTGGGTGTTTCTAGTCCGGTAGTGTTTTGTAATTAGGCTATGATTTTCGAGTGTTGGACAATATGAAAGAAGTTGCTATCGGTGGTGGTAGAAGTTTTCTAGTGGAGGTGATGGTGGGTCTAGGTTGTTTTGGTATTGGTGGTTTTGGGTGTGGGAGAAAAAATAAGCGGTGAACAACAAATAGGGCTACTGGGTTTAGAGTTTTAAGGCTGGTGTTGTTTAAGGCTACTAGGGATGATATTAGTGAATATGGCTTGGTTGTGGTGGAGCAACGAGTGGTGAGATAGCTACAAGACTAATGAGTGGTGACAATAGGGAAAGATATCATCGACTATGAGGGAGCTGGTTTTTGGTTAGGTGGTGGAGCAGGTCGTGATGCAACGAATGAAAGATCATGCATCCTATGGAGGTGCTAAATAAAAAAAAATTTACTCCATCTAGGGTTACCAAGAGCATGCCATTAAATTAACTAATCATACATAAACATGAATAAGATTAAAGTGAGTGATTACCTCTTGTAACATGAAAACAATTTATGTAAAAAAGAACCGTTCAAGTATCTAGTCTCTACTAATTATCCATACGAGTTTAAACACCCACATAAAAGGCAATAAAAACCATCGTTTACTATCTATAACTATTCCGTATAATGAAGTTTTGTCTAGAAATCCTTTTAGGGTATTTTGTGCCAACTTTTGGTTTCTTTAGAGATACGGTAACTTTTCTTTTAAGGGAGAAACATTTTCTCTTTGTTAATTTCTAGTATCTAGTCATGTATCTCTTCCCTCTTTATATATAGGTGGTGGCATCATCTCCTTGCAGTGTCAAAGGGATGTTGTTTATAAGGACTTTGTTTAACCTTATCTTTGTAAACCCCGAGCTTTATCCAATAGTACGCAAGTTTATCCTTCCACCAAATACTTTGTAAGCTTTTAAATTACACTTATTGGCCCAAACTCTTTTGGCTTAATTTATTATCAATTAATTTGGATCATCCAAATAAATTGGGTCAAGTATTTTAGTGAAGCCCATATTAGAAAATAATTTTTCAAATTATTCTTAAACCTAAATTAAGAAACTAATTTCTTTTTTATGTAACTATCTTCCAAATTAGGAACCGATTTCCAAATTAGAAAACCGATTTTTGAAATAGGGAACTAACTTTTTATTTTAGAAAACTCGACTTTTCAAAATAGGAAACTTTCTAAAATAGGAAAAATTTTCCAATAACCTTTGTTTCTCTTTTATCATGTGAATGTTTAAACTTATGCATGTGACTTAATAAACTTTTAAATATGTTGGCAATGCATCAAGAAGAGAAAAGACACCTCTTTTATCTCTTAATACATAAATCAATATTGGCCTCTAAGCAAAGCATTATGACTACTCAATTCTCTAGGAGGATTAATTAATCCACAATTACCTTTCACGAGAATGGTTTTCATACAATTCAATCCTCATGTTAATTTATCATAGTGTGATCTCAAACTTGGTTTATAGTCCGTTTGATTATGATCACATGGGTTTTCTTCGATAACCAAATGTTTTAGTTTATAAGTAAATCAATTATGCTATGTTGGTGGTATACTTTCATTGTGGCTACCCTCGAGCAAACATTCATCGAAATGCAATGTGATAAATTCTTTAGCATATAAAAAATGACATATCCTATCTCAATTATCCATATATCTTCATTAAATTTCTAATGCACCCAACGAATAGCTCACACGCGACTCTTTATCGAGCCCATCGAAACGAATGTCAAAGTACATCAATCTTCTAATGCAATAACCATGATGAATTCAAGTCAAAGAACTACTTGTACCCATCTTGTATAAAATTCTCATAGATTAAACCAAATGGGTTCTCAAAACGAGTCACGTCTAGTGATATATATTCTCTAATATTATTTATCTAAGTACTTACTTTGGCATCACCATGCTAGTAAGAGTGAGATCTCCTATAGTTTTCTAATAATAAGAGCATGACATTTACAAGTATTATCGCATGTTGTCAATGTCCCATCTTGATAATGATACGAATTGAGATATTTAATGATATCATTTAAATGCATCAATATTTGTCTCACATCAATTGATCAATTATTAATGTGATGCTTATCATATGGATTTTTATCTAATTCTATCAAATTATAAATAACAAAAATTAATAGAAAGACTTTTTTTTATAAATATAAAAATACAATGATACAATAAATCAAACCATCTAAATAGATTGGATGTTGGACACCTACACTAACAACGAGGTTATGGTGGTGATGGGTAGACTGGTGGTCGGCGCCACGTTGTGGTGGTGATGAGTGCGAGTACAAGCAAGGGTTTTTAGGTGAATGGGAAATTAGCGATTGCTAAAGGTTGAAAAGGAGAAAATAGGGTTTTTATGGTGGATTTTTTTTCAAAATTGTTGGTAAAAAATCAAATTTGGTCTCCTATTTCTTTGCTTTTTTAGTTTCATTCCCTCTCTCTTTATTTTTTTTAATCATGTCCTCAATTGAAATTCTTTAGTCCATTTTCTTCCAACTTCTTTCAATTTTTCCCAATTGAAGTCCTTCAATTTTAATTTCTTTCAATTAAGCCTCCAATTGGATTTTTTTTTCAATTAGACCCAAATGTTGTCTTTTTTCAATTTATTATTTATTCGTTTTTCTTCTTTTTTTTGTTAATTTCTTCTAAACTAAAAAATTATGGGATTCCTAGAAATCCTAATAAAAGAGGTTTTTTTTTTTTTTTTTTTTTTTTTTTGTAAAATCAAGTGGATTAAAAAAAATGATTAATTTTGACATTTGATTATTTTTATTATTATTTTGAGAAAAGTTTGTAAAGAATAAATGTTCTGCAAATTTGAGTGTTAACACTAATCACTTAGTGATTTGTCTAAATGATTCGTTTGTGGCTACCCACGATGGTTAGGCAAGTTAGCACATCTTGTGTGCACTTGACTTTCTCCTAGCGGCAATGATTGATTGACTCTTTGGTCAATCATTTCTCCCAACATATTGGTCAATTGTTGAATATGACTCAAAACCTTCCACTGTGTTTGGGCAGTCGGAGTGTCATCAGTAGCCATTTACCTAGAGAGAAATTGTAAAGAAAGTACTTAAAGATAGAGAAAGTGTTAGTTACCTTAAAAATGAGAATTCGTCGCCTTTCTATTGATCCAAGGTCATTCTTAAGTCATTAGTGATTGTGGGAACTTAATGAGTTAGTTTATGTAACTTGCAAGTTAGTGAATTAGTGACTATTACTTATAGGTTAGTGACTAGTTGGTCAATATACATTGGTTTAGGCCTACTCAAAAATTTGTTAGACTTGAACTTATTTACCTATATAAGCATAGATCCTTAATAAATTTTGGTTCATCAAAGAGGTAAAGCAAAAATTTGCATGCAATATTGTATTAATATAAAATTCTAATTACATGTGTTTTTTTTTTCTGTTGAATGTTTATATTTTCATTTTTTCTAATCAAGTGCCTCTATTTTTATTTATTTTTATATGAATGTCTAAATCTCCATTTTTACTAATGAAATGTCTTCATTATTAAATTATTAATGATATGTTTGATAAATGGACACATGTCATCTTATTGAACTTTAAATCATTTGAAGTTGAATATCTAAACTTTTTTATTGGTTTTGAGATTTTTAAACTTTTCATTTTTTAAAAGTTAGCCAATCCTTTAGGTTTTGTTTCTTAATTTATCCCAAAAGTATAACAATTATGATAGAAATCATTTAGTGAGATTTATATAGAGCTCTTAAAAAAAAAAATAGAATCATTTAGAAGTTATTTTTTATTTTTCTTGATTTTTTATATTTTTAATATTTAAAAAATAAACAAATATATTTTTCAATTTTAAAAAATTCTAAAATTTTTCTATAAAATAGATTGAATTTTTTTCAATAAGTGTACAAAATTTTAGCTCAAAATACCAAAAATTAAAATTTTTTTAGAAAAGAAAATGATTGCTAAAAATTATTAAATTGATTAAATTTCAAAAAATTAAAAATTTAAAGAATTCCAAAACCAATAAAAAGAATTCAAAAACTCAACTTCAAGTGATTTAAAATTTAAAAGTGGTCAGATCCTTTTAGCCTTATTATATCTAATAATCCACAAAAAGAAAAAAGGACAAGAAATCCCTCTCATCAAACACGTTTAACATCTTTCTTATTTAATTTATATCTCTCTGTTTTTTATTAATGTTCTTTTTTAAGATTGACAAATCCCATAAAATAAAGATGATGTTACTAAAGATGTCATCAATAATTTAATACAAAAACATAAATAAATAAAAACTCGGGCCACTTTTTTACTCAAAACCTAGGCCCATCCACAGTGAAGACTACCCATTATAATAATCAATTGCGATACGATGTCCCCTTGGATTCTTTCTTTTGAGTTTTAACGGTAGCTTAATCTTTCATTGAATAAATTAAATAGCAGAAATCAAAAGCGTTTGAGGAGAAGCGTTCCTCCATAAATTAAAGAACCATCAGCGCGATCATTTTGGCAACCGTAAGCATTACTGCACGGGATACCTGATTAATTAACTACTACTAGCAAATAAGCAACATGGAGATACAAAGTTCCATGACTGGAATCCATGAAAAAACGAGGTGGAGTACCTTATTGCTCAAAATTTATATTGCCCGTTGTTCGTAGTGAAGGAATATAGTCACTCACCTCAACAAGAAACGACTTTTAATCTAACAATTATTTTATTCCACTCTTTTTGAGGGACCTAAATTCCCGAAAGAAATGCCAAAAATATCCATCAGTTGACTCCATAGATCCACTTCTCAGCATTGCTTGTGTAAGCAACTAATTCCTCTGGTTTGAACCACAAGCTAATCTCATCCTTGGCAGTCTCGGGGCCGTCGCTTCCGTGAATGATATTTCTACATGAAAAAAAAAGAAGCATCCCAAGTAAAACAATTATATACAAGAAACTAAACTATTACACTAACATCATTCACTTCAGTGATTTATGCAACAATACAAATATTACAAATGGTAAACTGCACGCAGTTCAAGGCAAGAATTTACAATCAAGAACTCTCCATGGTAAATAGGCAGAACTAAGTGCAAGAAAACAGAAGTAATAGAAGTGTATAACATATTATAAGACCCAGTAAACCAGATATTTGCACTAAATTCAATTTTTTACCTTCCAACAACAACAGCTAGATCACCTCTGATAGTTCCGGGTTCTGATTTCTGAGGATCTGTTGCTCCAATGAGTTTCCGGCCATATTTGATCACCCCTTCTCCTTCCCAGACCTGCATGAGTTGGGTGAGTTCATCTAAGTCAATAGTAGATGTCAAACATTGAGGTGAGAGTTCCAGTTTTTCAATTTTTATACCATGGCAACAACTGGACCAGAGCTAAGGAAGTCACAAAGACCATCAAAAAAGGGTCTTGTCTTCAGATCATGATAATGCTTCTCAGCAAAGTCCTTCGAAGGAATCACTATCTTAATTGCCACAAGCTTAAAACCTTTACGCTCGAAACGAGATATGATTTCTGAAATCTGGGAAGAAAAATGCATGTCAGATTTCATATACCCCAAAAGGCACTGCCCTAGCATATAATAATTGATAGAAGCAAATACTACCAACCATCTGAATGACAGGTAAGATAATAAAATACTGTTGAAGTTGATTGCATCAATGCATGCATCCTGGAGAAAGTTGTTAAGAAGGCAGGTTTTTAGGTGCTGAAAATCAGATGCTTATCTTACCAGCCCTCTTTGCACTCCATCAGGCTTGATGGCAATGAACGTTCGCTCCAACTGAAAAAAGAATCAAGAGTGAACATTTATCCGTTAACAGAATCGCAAGAGGCATGGTGACAGTTAAGACATGGATTGAATGGTGATTATTACCTCTGCAGCATGTGCCTCCTGTTCCTGGAGCATGTACACTGCAAAAATTTAGAGAAGACAGGGAAAGTTAAAATCAGAGATTTTTTTTTTAAGGAAAATTAATTAATAATATTAACCAACCAAGGAATTCAAAGAGTTATACTATAATATGGTACCTCTCATCCTCCATTATTAATATCTTCAAGGAATACAGAGATAACAGGCTGTGAATATGAACCGGTAGCTATATCCCTTACAATGTGGTCAATTTTAGTTTGTGAGATAGACAAGGATATGAAACTCAAAGGTATCTTGAAAACAAAAGTTCTTTCCAGTAGTCTGTTGATTCTCCCACATTTCCATGTTGGTTGGTGATCATTTTTCATCAGAGACGAACAGGTGAGATAAAGATCTTAAAGCATGTATCACAGAGAGGGTGGGTGGCTGGGTGAATAGATGAAAAAGACCATTAACAAAAACTGCTTAAAGGACCAGCAGAGAAGTATGACGACACTAACACATACTTGCATTAGGGGATTAAAGTACAATGTCAGGGGAAATTTAGGGAAACAATCAAGTCTGGAATTCAACCCATGCCCCAGATTTCACTGCTACCATACTTAATCGTGAAGTGATTGTTGTAGAAGAGGATCTGGAAGCTACAGTGCCAAAAACTTGAGCAAGGGACAAGGCTCCTCTTCCTTTTCCACTCTAACAAACGATTTTCCAGGCCAACACTCAGATCTTTTTCATTATATATTGTCAAAGAGCTATACATTTCTCTTGTATTAAAACAAATATGAATCATATTCCAAACAAATCAAGAAAATTCTATTTTTGTAACACGAAGCACTGGACAAAAATGACTCTCAATCATGATGGATGAACCAAAATGTTAAAGTTCCCTTACCTACCAGCAGTCTAGTAATTGAAAAAGACTCCAGTTTGATTATAAAAATAAAAAAATAATAAAAAAAGGGACAAGGAATGAGAAAAAAAAAGGCTTTTTATCTGAACCTGCAGCAGGAATTGCAAGGGCCCCTGAAATCCATTGCCTAGCTACATTTGAAGAACCAGTTCTTCCATGAGCTGCAGCTAGGAAAGGCAACTTTCCACTGAATGAAACTGCTGCTGCTGCAGCTACGGCTCTCCCTTCTACAAAGGTGAAAACTTATAATGGATTAAAATGGTCAACAAGAAAGCTTTGCGATTCAACTCAAATTGATCAAATATGACATATTTGTAGTGGTGCAAGGAAAAATATACAGGAAAATGCAAGAAAAGATTCATCTTTAACTTACAAGTGCAACCAATCATCATGTATTTAACAATAACAAAAAAAAAAATCAACTAGTAACCAAAATAGAACCAAAGTGACTACACAAAATCAAACAATCCGAATATAAAAACCAAAATTATGATATAATAAAAAAAACGGAGCAGCAAGGTATATCATAAAACTCAAGCGCACATCAAAATTAAAGTTCAATCAAATGAATAACACAGGCTCATGCAGGACGTGCACAATTAAAGTATTCGAAAATATTCAAACTATCTCCTAAAATTTCCAAACGAGTCTCAAATCAAAATCGTCTAAAAAGAAATACTCACAGATTCAAATATTAAAAAGATCACAGAACAAATGGATTCACAAATCATTAATATTGCTCACTAAAAACAGAATCAGATTTGCTAAATGTAATAAAAGAAAAGAAAACGAAGAAGCAAGGAGTAATGAGTTACCAGAGTAGAAGCGAGAGGTTTTGGAAGCTGAAGAGAGAAGAGACCTGGCAGCTCTAGAAGCAGATCTGCAAATGTGAGAGCTCATTTTTTATTTTTTTCTAAAAATTAAACAAAGAGAAATATGCTCAGCTTAATGGAGAGCAAAAGAGAGTGAAAACTGATAGGACTTGAAAGGGTGAGGGGAAGGGAGTGAGCTGTTATATAAGAAAGGTCAAACCCTACCCCGAACTGTAGGGAGAGAGGACCCATTAAAATGCAGTTATTAACTATCGGTTAGGATTTTTGGATTTTGGTATTGGTTTTTCTCTACGGTGATTTGATGTGCAGTTAGTTCAAAACTTTTGCACCGTAGCATAGCACGTGTAGCAACGGGATACACGAGTTTGCTGTTCCAATAGGAAAAGAAAGGAAACCTGTGCAACGTAGCTTAGCACTTGTAACAAGGTGATACACGAGTTTGCTTGTTTCAGTTGGAAAAGACAGGAAACAATTGATGTGAAAATGATTTTTTAAAGTGGGCCATGATTACAATTTTGCAATAATTAGATAATGATAAAATACAATTAAGCTAAAATTAATTTCTTTCTTGGATCTAAGATGGATTTGCAATGCGCAGTTATATAATTTTTTTTGTTAAAATATTTAGATAATGATACATGTAATTACAAGTTGCTTTTTTTTTTTTTTTAACTTAAAAAGAAAACGTGTGTTTTGGGAATTTTGAGATTGGGAAGATATTTGTTAAAAAAAAAGAAAGAGGAAACCTCTCTTTTTTGGACCTCTAGCTAATAAGAAAGAAACAACTAGGAACTTCTCTTTGGCTGATAAATACTTAAAAGAGTACCAATTGAGGGAGACAAAAGGTACATATTCCTTTGCTTAACTTTTCGGCTTTGGCTATTCAATTGATAATTTAAAGAAGGAATCAACTTCATGACTACTGTTTTATCGAAAATATTGTTATAATTTTTTTATTTATATATAATTTATAACCAATTACAAAAAAAATAGAAGATTTGGGATTGTCATTATTCACTTATTATATATATATATATATATATATATATATATATATATATATAGAAACTCATAAACATTGTGCTTTGTGATTTAATTGAGCTGAGTTCATCCTTTCTTTACATCTTAGCAGTTCTTTGGCTAAGCTTTGTCTCTCCATTATTGATGTTGTTGCCTTTTGAATTTTTGTCTTAAAGATATGGCAAGTAGTTTGTTTATAACCCTTATTTATTTTGCCCAATTTCTCTTTTGCCATTACAAGGTTTTGTTATATTACTTTTTCGCTCTTCTATGCTTTTCTTTTGTTTCTACCTTAAGCATTATTTTTTCTGCACCTTTTTTTTTTCATTAATTTAAAAGCCCTAACATCCTAACCATTGAATTAAGATATATAACTTAAATTTATTCCAACCTCCATCATCTTCTGTCACTCCCCCTTTCTCTCTCTCTCAAACAAGGTAATCAAAACCTTCATTATCTTAATATCTTCCATAAATTAGTCAAACAATGATCTTAAATTGTTTATTATCTTTTTTTTTTTTCCTTTCAATTGATGGAAGCAAAAGAGGACGAAAGAAGGAGTATCTTAGTTGTCTAATTGAACATGAGTTGTCATTTATTTTCTTTATATAGCCTCGGGAATTTGTTTTTAAACAAATTTGCTTAGAGATTTTTTTATTTTTATTGTTGGTTAGCTCTTTAATTTGTCGGGCAAAATTTTGTTTTTTGTTTCATTTTTCATGTTGATTCAACTTATTACATATTAATTCCATGTTGTCATATTACTTTGATGTGTTAATTTTTAAATGATTGGAATTTCTGTCATTGCGGATGGACTTAATTGTTGTAGTGTTAACATTCATGGTCGTTTGGAGAATCTACTGTCGCTCTGTCATTGTTGAGACTAAAGAGGTTATTGATTGGATATGCTAATGTGATGGAAAGTGTTGTGGCCATGGATGGTTGTGGCTGCATAGAGAATCTTCTTGATAGTACTTTATTCAATTTTTCATATTTTTTTGTTTAATGGTGTGATAAGGATATGGCATAATTTAAAATTAGTTTTTTTTATCCATCATAAATGATTTCTTATGTTTTTATATTGAATTTCGTAAGATGAATTTGTTATGTTCATGATTTTTATAATTTCTTTTTGCTTTTTTTTTTTGTAATAATTAGTTGTAGATTTGCCTATTTAATTAGGTGTTAGTTTAATTAATTTGGTATTAATTATTTCATTTTGGTGTTAAAAATATTTAATTATATGGAAAAACAATTTACGAGTTTATACTTATATGAAATCATTTGTTATATTATTTTTCATCAAGTTTCTTATTGAAGTATTTATCTAATTATACTTGAAAGGCGAAAAAAATTGAAATATTTGGTCACCGATATTAGGGTGACTCTCCATGGATATAACATTGCTAGGAAAATAATTGAGAAGGTATAAGGTCAATGTTAATGCTCCATGATGGAGATGGGAATAATTAATTTCATGTTAATTATGTTATCCGTTAATTAGGAAATGTTTAGTTTATAGGAAAAGCTCTACTAAAATATTATTAGAATTTTAATTAGTTATAAGAAACATTTGTATGATGTCTAGTGCATAATTTTTAAATAATAATAGCTAGTTATTCGTTTTTTGCTCGGATATACAAACAAAAAAACTAATTATGAATTTGAATCGTTCATAGATCGATTATAGATATACCAATTGTCTCATAAATTAGTGTTTCTTTGATGGAGTAAATGAATTTATTGTTTTTTATGTTAGTCATCCCGAATGTATTGACGGAAATAAGATAAGATATCTTGATAAATATAAAAAGTGTCGGAACCATAGTTATGAAGATCCTAATACGATTAATTAACATTTGACAAAATATGGTTTTGTGTCCGATTATTTTGTGTGAAGATGTCGTGAAGAAAATAAGTCGATGATTTATGTTGATAACTCGAGAAATTTTTTGAAGTCGAATAAATCTTTGATGAATCTTCGGTCAATCCATATCACACAACGGGGATGGATGCAACGAGTCCACCATTTATTTCATCTAACACGGATGAAATCCCAAACCTACTACTTAAGTATTTTATGATTTGTTGAATGCATTGAATAGAGAGATCCGACCCGATTCGGAAAATCACTCACGGTTATCCGTATTGGCCCATTTGTTACACTCGAAGTCCGAATATCATTTTTTAGAGAAGTGTTACGATGACTTATATCAACTTATGAAAAGGATGGTGTTGATTGATAACTATACGACATAAGACTTTTATAGTATGAAAAAGTTGATGGAATTGATGGGTTTACCGATTCAATGGATCCACAACTATATAAACGGATGCATGATTTATTAGGATGAAGACGAGTGTGAGAATTACTTACGAAATATATGACCATCCTCGATATCAACATCTTAGATGGGGATCGATTAGAAAAAATTAGGTTCCATATAAAAAAATATGCCATTTTCCCTTAACCCCATGATTATAAAGGATGTATGCATCAAATGCCACAGCTAGTAACATGATATGGCATGCCGAATATGAAATTGAGGTAGACATAATGGATCATTGCTCGACTCCTTTACATGGTGGCATTTTGATCAAACGCATCTTTCTTTTGCATAAAAAATTAGGAATATCGGATTAGGAGTTCGCATTAATGGGGTTCGGCTTTTTAGTCCATCTAGACAACAATATTCTTTGTGGCCTATAATTGTAATGCCTTATAATTTGTAAATTTAAAAGTGTATGAAGAAAAAATATATGTTCTTAATTGTGATTATCCTAGGACTAAAAAATTCAAAGATCAACCTAGACATGTACTTATAACCCTTGATTAAAGAGTTCATTTTTTTGTGAAAATTGGTGTGCTTACTCGTGATGTGTCCCATAAATAGAATTTTCAAATAGGAACTACGGTCATATGGATAATCAATGACTTTCTCGTATATTTAGTTTTGTTTCATTGAAGTACTGTAGGAAAAATAACATGCCCTTATTGCATGAAAATTCTAATGCTTTCAATGTCTATATTGATGGAAAGATCTTGTGGTTTGACGAGTTACCATAATTTTCTACTAGAAAGTTATCCATTAAAGAGGAATAAGAATGTTTTCAAAAGAAATATAGTTATCACGGACATTGCTCCCCTAGTCCGAGTTTGAAATGGATTTTTTGCATAAAACAGAAAATTAGGGATTGATGAAAGTCACGAAAGATGGTTTCAAAGAGTGTAACAATAGTATATCTAGAGTTTATGGTTAGAAGAAATGAAATATATTCTAGGATCTTCCATATTGGAGTTCCAATCTAATTTCGTATAATTTAGATATGATACACATTGAAAAAAAATTATCTTCGATAATGTATTTAATACATTTATGAGTATGTCGGAAAAAATCAAAGATCATGCTAACTCTAGAGAAGACTTGAAACTTTATTGTCGATGGCGAGAATTAGAAAGAGATGAAAACTCTAAAAAAACATCCTAAAGTTGTTACACCCTAGACAAACAACAAAAAATATAAATGCTTAAATGGCCTAAACAACTTAGGGTTTTTTACGGATATGTGTCAAACTTAGCTAGGTGTGTCGATATGAATAACATTAAATTACATTACATGAAGAGTTATGATTGTCATGTATTTATGTAGAGATTAATACATGTCGCATTTTATGACCTATTATTGAAAAATGTTTAACAAGCATTTACCGAGTTGAGCTTATTCTTTAAGGAATTGACTTCTACTATCACTAAGATTGAAGATATAAGGTATCTTGAGATAGAGATACCTTTAATTTTATGCAAACTTAAGAGCATATTTTCATTGAGTTTCTTCGACTCAATAGAACATCTTCCAGATCCACTTGGCATATGAAGCTAAATTAGCAAGACTAGTGTAATATCAATGGATGTATCCATTTGAAATGTAAAGATATTGATTTTGAATCCTTGATTAATTTTTTTAAAAAAATATTTGTTAACTAACCTAGTTACATAATGCGAGTATCTTTAGAAACTAAAAAATAATGCAAAGAACAAAGCTAGAG